TTTAGAACTTAGCTTTTAATTGGCACTTTTTATTATGTGAAATGAAATGACTAATGCCTTCATGTAATCTTCAATAGGCCAGAATGTGATAGCTAAGCTGCAAACAATTCCATTGTTAGTTGCCAACTGCTATAGCTACCATTGAGACAAAGATAATTTTGGTAAGCAAAGAGATGGTCTCGAATCAGATACGTTAATAAGAATATTAGTATGTCGTGCTGTAACCAGATGTTGTTACTTTATTTTAAATGTTTTACGTGAACTCCTCCTGAAAGAGTGAGAGATTCCTGACACAGCATTACTTCCCTTGACTAACAATAATAATAACAAAGAGGAGTTTGAGGAGGAAGGGGAGGATGCAATTGAAAATGAGCAGGATTCCATGATATCTACAATATCTGTAACATCTAGAGATTACATGAAATCATTTGTCTCAAATCTCTCAGTCTGTATGGACAGTGGTTATATACAAGATGGGAATGAAAGTCCACCTGACACAACAGGCGTGTTGGACCAGATAGAGGAAAAGCACGGTGATGTAGAAAAGAAACTAACAGAAAAAAAATCTAACTACTTCAGAGCCAGGAATAGCCTTACAAACAAAGCAGACCCAAGATACCATTTAAACAAATCCTCCTCAAATCTGAGTAAAAGCAGCTACACCTTGTCATGGAGTAGCTTACCGCTTCATTGGGCAGAAAGCTTGGGCTGCACTGAGGTCAAATTTAAGTTTCTGATGAAGTCCAGGAGCTCAAACTGTCTGCTGCAGCCTGCAACCTTTAATCATCGTTTGAACAACATTTACTACAAAGCATGTGCTTCAAGAGAAGACCACATCTCAGGTTTGAAGAGGAGTGTAAAACCATGAGGTCAAAAATCACAATGCCAGGTTATGGTCCAACAGATTTATTTGAAGACACAAGCTTTTGGAATCTCACTCCTTCTTCCACGACACTGCAAATTGTTGTTTCTGGTACTGACAAAGTTCGAGGAAAAGTCGCAAGAGCCTATAGCCATCCCAGGTAAGAAGTCTTCACAAAATCCAGTCTGGTCAATAGTTTAAAGACAGCTAAGTGAAGCCAACAACTTAGTCAGAACTACAACTAAACACGTCACAGTCAGTTCGGTTCTTGGATTCTGGACTTCTGAGAAATCAGTAACAATATATCCCAACTGGTTTGGAAATACTAAATATTCCTACTGTTCAATCAGGTATGTACAGCAGCGAGCAATCCACAGTTTGTCAATGATCATTTGATACACAACTCAGCATTGTGATGTGCACCATTTCAGTTGCCATAATATATGGAAGAAAGTGCAAAAAAAATTACATCTACATTTTTGCTAATGTTTAGGGGTACCAATCAGTGCAGGCATCCGAATTAGGAGAGAAAGCCATTCAGCCTCAAGGCTGCTTTGCCATTCAGTAATTTGTTCAATGAACAAATTAATTCAATAATTCTGAGGAAGGGTCACCAGACCCGAAACGTTAACTCTGTTTTTTCCTTCACAGATGCTGCCAGACCTGCTGAGCTTTTCCAGCAACTTTCTATTTTGTTTCCTGGTTTACAGCATCTGCAGTTCTTTCGTTTTTTATTGAATTCAATAATGTCTTGTTTGTGTTTTGAATTCTACATTCCCCTCTAAGAAAACTTTTGATAAAGTCCATTACAAATTAAAGCTTATGGGGAAGGAGATAATGTAATGTGATAGATTGTTTTCTAGCCATTAGCCAAAAATTAGAGAGTAGGAATAATTGGTCATTCCCACATTAGTAGGTTGTGACTACCGGTGTACTGCAAGGATTAGCACTTCCTCCTCCAGCTGCACACAATATATACCCATGATTTGGAGGTGAAGATCCAATGTACTATTTTCAATCCTGCAGATCATACAAAGCTAAGTGAAGATGTTAAGTGGCTTCAGAAAGATATGAATAGATCTAGCAAATAGGCAAGAGTATGTCAGATGGACAATAATGTGGAAAAATGTGAAGTTATCCACTTTGGAAGGAGGGATAGATGTTCAGATATTTCTTAAATGGTAAGAGGTTGGAAAGTGTGGATGTACATGTCCTCTTCGACAAATTCACTGAAGACTGTGTAATTCTGATTAATCCACATATTAATACAGTTAATAGAATTTAGGTTTATACACATGATGCACCATATCCCCAGATTTGAAAACAAAGGCAAATTCAAAATGAACAGTAAAATAAGTACCATGTGATTTTATTCAAAGATAGGAGATGAAGTATTAAGGAGAAACAATGGGGCTGTTGTCTCTGACGAGGCTTTTATCTGTTAAAATGCTGTGGATATAATGCTGGCAATTAGAGTCAACGGTGGATCTTACTTTGGTTATCCTATATTCATCCTGATGGGAAAACCTACCAAACAGACACAGTGAAGTCTATCATTGAGCTGCAGGGAGAAGGGTTCCAGCTTCAAGGTCTCCAAGAACATCCTTCCTATTGGTCATCCAGCTTTGAGATCCAATCCTCTATCTAACAATTGGTCAATATGGGGGAAATCACATGCTCAAGCGAGCCACATTAACCAGATTTTGTCATTAGTTTTCCGTTATTGTAGTTTATTCAGGATTATGAGGTAAATTGATTTTGATTGTTTATGTTTGTACATAAACAGGTTAGGGTGAAAAATAGTTAGTCCAGAAGTGGATGGCTGTGGTTCTTTGTCTTCTGACTGTTTCTTGGGGGTTGACTTCAAAAAGACATCTAGTTTTTGCTGCTTTGCTCTTTTCCTTCTTTCATGAAGAAGCTGTTCATAGGGTGCCAAATAAGATCTTATTCCACGAACTGCTACTCTGCTACGTTCTGCATTGTAATCGTTGTCCTCTAAGAGCTGCAACTGCTTCTCAATTTCCCTTAGGATAGAAGACAAAACAAAAGTGGAAAGCTCTCGTGGTGCTGCATCCTGGACTTCAACTTCTTCAGCTTCCACATCCCCCTCAGCAACAAGTTGTTGTATATCAGCTATAGAAAGGTCTTCATAATGGGACTCGAGCAACTCTTCAACATTGTCACTCTCCACTTCTTCAAATCCAACTTGCTTTGCAAGATCAACACAATGTTCTTTAATTCTTGGGAGCTCCCCTGATGGATCAAAGCCTTTAAAATCTTGAAAAAAATCTGGGAGAAGCCTCCGCCAAACTGCATGCAAGCAGTCCTTACTGACATCACCCCAGGCCTCCACAATAATGTCAATTGCATTCTTGATATTAAAGCTCTTCCAAAATTGAAGAACACTGTCCTTATCCCCCTCAGTGGCTGCAATCAGCCTCTTAAATGTGTGCCTTAAATAATAAGCTTTAAAAGCTGCTATTGCACCCTGGTCCATGGGTTGAAGGAGAGAGGTTGTGTTTGGGGGTAGAAATAGCACTTTGATGTTTTCAGAAAGCTCACCAATGGTAGGAGGATGGCTTGGCACATTAGCCAGGATGAGGAGAATCTTGAAATCCAAATTTTTTTTCTTGCAATACTTTCTAAAAACATCTTCCAAAACATCAACAATAAGGTCTGAAAAAATTTGCCCTGTCATCCAACCTCTTTTGCTTGACCTAAAGTAGACGCCTAGAGTAGACCTAAGGCAACCTTTCAAGGCTCGTGGGTTGGCAGAATGGTACACTACCACAGGCTTAAGCTTTAAGTCTCCACTGGCATTGGCACCCAGCAGCACAGTCATACGATCCTTTGCCACCTTAAAGCCTGGACCATTTGCTTCAATCATAGAAATGTAGGCTCTTGATGGCATTTGCTTCCAGTATAAACCTGTCTCATCCAAATTGAAAATTTGATCTAAGTTGTAGCCTTCTTCATCAATTAATTTTTTTACAATGGGAATAAATGCCATTGCATGTTTCTCATCTGCACTGGCAGCTTCGCCACATAACTTTACATTATGAAAATCATAGCGGTTCTTAAAACCAGCAAACCAGCCACTGCTAGCACTAAAGGCAGGCACATCTGCAGGATTTTCAGCTTTTTTTGTTAGATCTTCATAAATTGATAAGGCTTTCTCTTTTATCATGAGAAAGGTGGTCCCAGATCGCTTTTTGATTTGATCTTCTATCCACACACTTAGAATCCGCTCCATCTCCTCAAGTTCCTTTGTTCGTGACCTCACAGATTTGCTAGCACTCAGACTTGTTCCTGCAATACAACTTGCTTTAATCTTCTCTGCATTGTCTCTAATGGTGCGTAAGGTAGATTCCTTTATTCCAGTTATGCGAACTATATCACATGTTCTCTCATTACGCTCAAAACGCTTTATAATATCAAGCTTCTCCCCCAGTGTTATAGCCTTTCTCTTACGTTCACCACCTGCAACTTTATCATCAGGATACTTCTTGCTAACGCTCTTGTCACTTTGCCCTTGCATTTTTGTGGGTAATACGGCAAAATTTGCAAACAAAAAACAAAAATCATGGAGTACTGTACTCACAGAAAGCGCTTCACGACAAAGTCTGTAAAACAATCACGGGACGCAGCGTGGAGAATCTTTCGGTGCTAACATTGTGCACATTCAGGACAAAGCCCACCAAACACGTTATAGCCAACACAACTTCGCGCTGGAGAAATAGCGTTCCCCTAATGGTCAGTCACGTTATAGCCGATTCGCGGTTACCGGAACACGCGTTATAGCAGAACTGACTGTATTTCCAAGTTCTGTGTCATTCGCAAATGCTGAAATTATGCCAGACCTGCAGCAGTGATCTGAGAGCCGGGGTGAGGGGTGGGGGGCTCTGTAAGGACGGGCCACCCACCTACAACGAGCTTGGTGCCGAAGGTTAGTCGTTCCTCTGCTGGGTGTTTTGTCACTTCAGTGTTATGTCTATGAACTCGACAGCTTTCTCCCCTGCTCTGCTGTGTGCGATTGTCAAGGCTACGGCGATAATGTGAGGGTTTAAATGGAGCCTCCGGTGCCTGAAACTCACTCAGCCGCTCGGGGACTGGGGGGACGTAACAGACACCGGCGCAGATGCCTCGGGAGGTTTCTCACACAGTTGCGACACTCTTTCCCTGTCAGGCCATTATCGTTTTGCTCCTCGTACAGTCCGGATTGTTAGCACAGCCGCGAAGTCACTCTCCGGACGCCCAGGCGGGAAGGCCGGGTATCCGGCTCCGGCCCACTCCGCGCCCAGGCTCCGAGGCCGAGAGCGCTTGGAGCAGGATGAAGGCTTCGAACAGCGTCCGGCCCTACTCCCTCACCCTGAGTGACGACCATTACCGTTACTCACCGAGACCAAAGCACCTTGACTCGAAGAGGCTCCGGAAGCTCCTCGGTCCCGCCTTCGACCCTTTCTGGATGTCGGTTACGGGTCGCCATAGAAACGAGAGCGAGCGTGACGACCTGTTGCAGCTGAGCAGCGAGCTCGCGGCCGCAGCACTGCGGCTGCGCGGGAAGCTCTGGCAGGAGGCACGGCGGTTGGAACCGGCCGGCATGGCCAGCGAGGCTGCTAAAGCCCAGTGGAGGCGCTGGATGGTGCGGGAGGCCAGCTGTCCCCTCACGTCCTGGTGGGTGGACCTGGGGGCCGTCTTCTGGCCGAGGTGGGTAAGGCACACCGACTGCGACAGGGGCCGGGCCAGCTGCTCCTGGCCCCCGGGCATGAGTTGCTCACAAGCCGAGTGGATGCACATCAAGCTGCTGGTGTGGCACTGCTGGACCGTGAAGGAGCGAGTGAGAGCATCGCAGCAGTGCACCTGGAGGCAGGTACCATACCCTGTAGTGACCGCTTGCAAGTGCTCCTGTCGGTGAAGCCATCCTGCTGGCTGTTCATCCCCTGCCCCCACCCCTCATCCTTTTCAAACACCGTGCAGAACCCAGCCAGGGCTATCTCCCAGCTCTCAAACTACAGTTAGATCAGGGAACTATGTAATCTTGTCTTCGAGATGATCAGAGGGTCACTGGACAGAAACTTATGTTTTACTTCTCAGTCCACAACAAGGGAAGATGGTAGGATCTTAAAATTCCAGCCAGGCCATTCGGGGGTGATGCCCAGAAGCATTCTTTACACAGAGAAATCTAGAACCCTTCCTCTACTAAAATGTTGTCGAGGGTGGAGCCTCTATTGAACATTTCTAAATTGGAATGGGTAGATTTTTATTAGGCAAGGGGGTCAGGGGTTACAGAACCAAGGTGCTTTGATGGAGTTATGACACAGATTAGCCATGGTCTAGTTCAATGCCAGAATAGGCTCAAAGGGCTGAACAGCCTCCTCTTATTCCGATATTCCAAATGAGGCAAATTGGCTCATCTTTATGCTCTGTGCAAGTGTGACACCGCTCCCCTTTTCAGCATCCAATTGAGGCAGTTGAGGGTAGTTATAATGTAATTGTACCAGTTGTGCCCTGCAATGAATTCATTCCTGAGCAGGGATGGGGCAGGGTATGGAGGGCCCGGGGAAGGAGAATGTGAGGCGACGGCTGAGCTACACTAGGCTGCTTGCACTGAGAAGTCCTCATCTCGGCTAAAGGCAGTTGTAAACTCTGGCAAACTCCTGCGTCCTGTGCTGAGGTTATAGTGAATGAGCTGTGGAACCATGTGATCATGGGAACATACAAATCAGGAATAGGAATAGGCCATTCAGGCCTGTTCTGCCATTCAGTAAGACCGTAGCTGATCTGATTGTGGCCTTAACTCCATATTCCTGTCTGCTCCACCTGATAGCCATCAACCCCCTGACCAGTCAAGCATCTATATGCCTTTGCTTTAAAAATATTCAATGCTCCCACCTCCGCAACCCTCTGGGGAAGAGAGTTCCAAAGATCCAAAACCCTCTGTGAGAAGAAGTTCTTCTAAGCTCCGTGTTAAAGGGGAGGCCCCTGATTTTTAATCTGTGCTCCCTAGTTTTAGTCTTTCTCTATCAGAGAAACATACTCTCACCATCCACCCTGAGAGTTCCCTCCAGACCTTATGTTTCAATAAGATGGAGTGAACCCCTCTCCCACCATATCTCTGCACAAAAACAAAGTTGCTGGAAAAGCCCAGCTGGTCTAGCAGCATCTGTGATGAAAAAACAGAGTTAACATTTCGGGTCCGGTGACCCTTCCAGCTTTTCCAGCAACTCTGTTTTTGTTCCTGATTTACAGCATCCGCAGTTCTTTCAGTTTTTATATCGTATCTCTGCACCTGCCTTCCCCAAATAGAGGAGTGCTGACTGGAATTAGTTTTCTTGCTTTATCTTCAATATTGTATGGGTGAGGCAGCCAATCCAGGCAGTTACAGGATTTGTTTGAGATCAGTTGGTGCCAAGTTTTCTGCCTTTTGTTATTCATTAATGGATTATTGCACTCCTAATTGCCAAGAGGGTAGTTAAGAGTCAACCACATTGCTGTGGGTCTGGAGTCACATGTAAGCCATACCATGTAAGGACAAGAACAGAAATTGCTGGGAAAGGTCAGCAGGTCTGGCAGCATCTGTGGAAAGGACAGTGGATTACCTTCTCTAAAGGACATTAGTGAACCAGATGGGTACTTACAACAATTAACAATAATTAATGGTCCATTTAGAGTAGCTTTTTTAATTCAAGATTTTTAAAATTAAATTCCAGTTTCACCATCTGCTCTGGTAGGATTTAAATCCATGTCCCAGAACATTAGGGGTTCTGGTTGACTAGTCCAGTGACATTACCACTACACTACCAACTTTCCCCCCTCTTGTGGGGAGAATTTACTTCAGTCGCCTCCCCCCATCTCCCTTCACAACACAGGCCTCCATCTTCTGATTGACTCACCGACACAGGGCCCAAGATGGATTATCACTCAATTTTTAATTTGGGAGGTTGGGAGTGAAGAAGTCACTTGGAATCAGAGTCTTTCCTGTAAATACATCACAACATGCTATTCTCGAATCCTCACTCCCTGAGCCCAGTGGATTGTGTGAATCTCCCAGTTGTGGTCATTCCTTCCCAGAGAGCCATTGTCATGCTGATATCTCACAGTCACCCTGGACGCTGCTGGCAGTGATTCTCCTCTCTCTGGCAGACTGGAGCAGGCAGGCACCTGAGAAGATTGTTGTGGTGCCTGACTTACTGAAGAATTGCAAACTGGATATGGCAGCGATGAATTGGAACTTTACCTCCACCAACTGGGAGCAAAGTCTGCAAGTCATTAACTTAAATGTGTTTCCCCTTGTTTCTTTAAACAGTTTTGATCCTCAAAGTTTGGAGCCTGTGGGAATGGATTAGAGACAAGGAATTTTTGTTTCAAACAACTCATACAGCAGCAAAGCGTTGATTAGATTCTCAGAATCACTGAATGACTGCAGTGTAGAAGGAGGCCTATGGCCCATCATGTCTACAGTGGCTTTCCAAATGAGTATTTCATTAGTGCCATTCTGCTACCTTCTCCCTGTAACCTGTACTTTTTCTTTTCAAATACCTGACTAATTCCCTTCTGAGTGCCTCAATTGAACTCCATCTGGGTGCAGGTGAGGGGAGTATTTGATTGAAACTTCCAGGAATATGTCCAACTGGAGTTGGCAACCCACAATGCAAAGTCTCCTGTCATGTTTATTGGTGAATGCAGTGCTGTAAGAATGTGAGAATTAGGAGAGGCAGGGCTTCTCGAATCTGCTCTGCTAATTTATAAGATCTTGGCTGATCTGATTGTAGTCTGAACTTCACTTTTCTGCCTGGATCCCTTGTCAATCAAAATTCTGTACAGCAGCCAGTAACTGTGTATACCTTGTCTTAAAGTATTGAGACAAAGGGATCAGGGAATGCAGTTATCTTTAGCAAAGGAAAGTTTGGAAATATATCTGTTAAAATGGCCAAAAATCATTAATTTTAGTGAGCAAGGGAGGATCTGTTCCTTAACAACAACAGATCAGGATCATGTTCTTCATGGTAACCATAGCAAGAATTTGATATATGGGGTGTCTTGATTATATCATAATCATGAGACCAGTAGATTGATAGAATCAATAGAGAGACACTCCTTTCCACTGGGGGGAAGAAGTAAAGGGGACATAATCTTATAAGCAAGTTTCAGGCCACAAGCTAAAGAAATGTTTTTTTTTACACAGAAGTGGAATTGTGAAAGCCCTTCTCTGAAGCAGTCAGATCAAGCAATCATTTTAAATCTGTGATTGATTTTATTTTGCTAGATGGCATATTATGGATAGACAGCCTTAGAATACAGATAAGCCACGATCTCAATAAATGGCAGAACAGCTTAGAGGAGCTGAATGGCCTCCTCCTGTTCCTATATTCCATTAATGTACCCTCTTAACAATGTGCAACATTTGATTAACACTGCCTAGTAATTTATAAAGTATTCAGACCTCAGTCAATGATGTGTATCAAATTTTTTACAGGAAAGTATGAAGGATTACATCAGAATGTAATTTGCTGGTTTGTGTGATTTGACTGGGACACAGTGGCATGGATTGGGGATTGGTGATGGGAGTGGGATGGCAAGGTTTGGCCACATTTTAATAATCAGCATCTAGGCCCTGCCGAAAACCTGACCTCAAGTCAGGGAAGTGGAAACAGGACTTTTGTTTAAGTTAAACCAAATAAATATTAATGCTGAGGAGGAGGGGCCTTGTAAGTGAGAAGAAGGGAATGCAAGCAAAATTTAAGAATGACGGTTAGAAGTTGGAATGGGAGTTCTATTTTGTACAAGATCAGGTTGGACCAGTAACCGTCATTTCCAAATTTTTTTGCCTTTAAGTTAGAAAGATTGGCCTCAGGATCTTGAAAAGCCCTCTTGTCCTGAGGGAAAGACTAATAATACTTGGAAATGAACATATTGTCCACCAGTTTGAAGTGCACAAGATGAGTTGGGCCAGTAAATCCCCTTTGTCTGATTTATGGTTTTCCTCACTGATTCCTCTGGCAGGTTATAATATCATGTATTCATTTACCACCAAGCCATAATGAAAGCCACTCAGATGTAGTTTTACCAAAGCTTATTTTTCGTTAGGTAACACTCTAGAGAACTTTGTCAGTAAACTTTTTTTTAACTGTGAGTAAGCATCAGGCTGCTGCATGGCCTCTCCTGCAAGCCTGCTCCTCGACTTCCATTGGTACTAAAGAAAAACCTGCATTTATATACTGCCTTTCACCCACCTAAGGAGCTCCCAGTGAGTTTAGGCTTACTGCCAGTGAAATACTTTTGAAGCATTGTCATGATTATGATGTTGCAATGTAGCAGCAAATTAGTGCAAAGCCAGCTCCCACAAACAGCAATGTGATATTGATCAGCCAAGCTATTTCTGAAATGCTGATTGAGGGGTGAATAATGTCCAGGAAGCCTGGGGAGAACTCCCCTGACTCTTCTTTGAAGTGGGTGTGCCTTTCAGTCATTTACCTCTGTCATTTACATCACAGCATGTATCCAAGCGGTTCTTTTCAAATTCAGGTAAATACAATTAAGACAAGGCTCAACAACAGTAATTTGCTTAAATATAAATGTTTATTAAGTAATAATAAATTATTATAGTGGCAATAATAAATTATTATAGTCGTAATAATAAACGGAAAAGAAGAGGGAAATAAAGCAACAAGTCTCACGCCTTTCTAGAAAAACCAACAAGTCTCACATTTTTCTGCCTGCTGGGGACCCCTCAATTGGTGGCTGGTCTGGAAGCTTAAGTTTGTCCCTGACACTGTTCAGATTCCGAGCCAAAGTGAAGTGCAGCAGTAGCAGCTTGGAATGAAACTCTCTCTCTCTTATACAGTGTGACAAACAGCTAGCATAAAGAAAGCAGATACGACAAGACAAAACTGCTGGCTGGTACAGGCAACACAGAACGGGAAAACAAGTGCAGGTGTCATCTTCGGCTTGTAAAGGAGTGTTCATTCAAGGACTGATTCAAGGTCATGCTGCTTGTTAAGTATTATTCTAAACTTTCCCAGCCTATTTCTCCCATCCTGTACAATTTGTTTTCTCATGCACCTGTCAAATATCATCATTAACTTTTAGCTCTTTGGCCCATCCTATACATTTCACCCCTGTTGATACTTGACAGCGCATGTTACAGTTGCAAATGCAGACGCAGATCAGCAATAGCCACACGAGAATGTATAATAAGAGTATGTAATCTACACTAGAAGATTAAAACTACAAGTAAAATAACTAGCATCAATACAAAGAATACAACAATCGAGTGTATCATCAAATTAATGATCGCAGTGGCCTTGGGGATTGACCCATATATGTACACACGTACCATCCCAATGTACTGTCAAGGCTGTAATGGAACCAGCAAGACGTGCCACCTGATTGAGGCAACCAGAATATTGTCTACATTCTTTTTTCAGTTAATCTATTTACATAATTTGCTCTGACATTGAGCATATTCCGGATTCAGGTTCCTTAATTTGTGTTTTTTTCAATTCCCTATACACAGACTCCTACACCACCAGAGTCTTTGCTCAGCCTTTTTTCCACATACACTAACTGCCCTAACACATTACAATTTCACTTACTGGTTTAGTCATACAAATGCTCAAGATGGGGTATTTGTATCCGTACACTTTCATTTCTGCAAGATTTTGACATAATAACCAATCATACCTTTTATTTTGATTGTAATTCGTTTTACATCCCTTTCACTAATACTATTTTCATTGTTTTAAAGTCAGTTTCTCTATGGATTTTGTGTCAGTGCCTTATCATTTAAACTCGGTTTTTGTGCTCTTCCAAGCCACACTAATCCTTTTGTCAAGCAGGTGTACATGTCTGAGACCCATTCTTCAGTTTATGTTTTTGTACTGTCTCAATGTTTGTTACCTCAAAGGTAATCTTCCCTTTTGCACACATACATTGGTATCCCAAGACCATGTTACACATTCTTGATCCACATGAGCTTATCAAACAATCTATGAGGTTTTATATGTCCCTCCACATATGGTCCCTATGCCTCGGGTAGTTGCTTGGTCACCAATTCAATCTTTCTTAAAAAGAAAGGCAAGGACACAAACATCAC